TGCTTTTTACAACTGGTGTAATTATGGCAGGAATCAAGTATGGAAATAATGAAATCTGAGCTGGATTTTTATCCCTCTTGCTGAATCTGCCGTAATATTCTGCTAAGGTGCTCCTTAAGCACTTCCACTTGGTGCTGATGATCCAGGCCTGCAATTTTTACATGAGTTTCCTTGGTACTGTTCTGAATGCAGGTCTCTCTTACAGTGAAGTTACTTTGGGTTAGGTTTTTTTCCCCCCTCTCTGAGCTTTTCCTGGTGATTAGATACAGGCATAAGGGAACTACAGGAATGCTAAACTTTGGGGAAAATAAGTTTCTGAGAGCTAGCTTCCATTGGAAGTAAAATGGTAAAGACAGGAGCACAGGGGGAAGGGAAACACCTTAGTTCTTTCTCTTCATCATCTTTTCCTTGTGAGTATCATTTTTGTCATCCAGAAAAAAAAAATATAGTAACCAAGAGTATTAGGTTTCATCCTAATATTGCAAATTAAGAACTGAAGGTTCCTAACAAGATCTGCACCCCATATGCAACAATCGGTTTGCCCAAACTAGTTGGGGAATTCTGCAGACCTCGGTTGAGCTGAACGCTGGTGTTCTGTGAGGAGAGGAGAGGAGAGGAGTGTTCTGTGAGGAGAGGAGAGGAGTGTTCTGTGAGGAGAGGAGAGGAGTATTCTGTGAGGAGAGGAGTATTCTGTGAGCAGAGGAGTATTCTGCTCAGACTCTGTGCTTTGCCTGCTGGGAAAATCTGGTTTAATGCCCCATGTCAGAGGCCAGCAGAGAACCCAGCGTGCATATTGAGTACCTGATATATTCACAACCTTGTCCCATTTCTTAGAGTTTTGCCAGGTATTGTGCCATGGCTAGGACTACGGGAAGTGGTGAAAACCCCATTTAGCTCAGATAAGCCATTGCTACAGAAGCAAAATAGTTCACAGGAAGGGATTTAATACTTTCAGTAAAATGTGCTAGAATATCTGTCTTTTTACTATGCAAAAAACAGACTTCATTTAGGAAACGTGAGTATTATATCAGCCTTTTTTCAGTTTTAACTTTAACATGCAGCTAACAATTTATTACCTGTAGAAGTAAAAGCTTTCTATCACCTCTTCAGGGAATGTGCTGTACTTTTCATTTCCTTGACCTTCTAGGTTTTCATCATTATTTATACATTACTGCAATGTACTAAAATAATTTTCTGAACAAAAGAAAAAGGGGAAAAAAATCTTTCATTAGAAGTAAAATCAGAGGGGGCATGCAGAGTGTAATTTTTATCAGCAGATGTGCTTAATTGTTTAAAATAACTGCAGAATACTGTTTGGGTTTGTCTGAAATAAAAAAATATTGACCAATACAAGTTTTAAATAGTTCTGCTATAATTGTGCATAGGATATGCAGTACACTTAGTGAATTCTTTTGCAATTTACTCGTAAATATACTATTCCCTCCAATGAATTTATGTGACTTAAATAATAAACCTGGTAACTGTAATTATATTATGAATACTAGTGACTGAATGCAAACCTCAGAGTGCCAAAGACAGATGAAAAGCAAATTTCAGGAGGTCTAACAGTAGGTTGAAATAGTAGAATACTGAACCTAAGAAACTAATGGGAGTTCATTACTGAAATAATAATATGTCCATCTTATGTAATGCTTCTCTACCAGAGGAGCTGATGAAAGTCAAAGAGGAGAAACAGCTGGAGAATAGCCGGGCGGTACGAGGGCTGCAGTGAGAATTTGAAACAGTCTGCAGAATCCCTGAAGAAATGAGAGTTAGGTCAAAGCAAAGGTCTTAGCCCCTCAGTACTGTTTCAATATCATAGAAAATTTGCATTTAGTCTGTGATCAAAACCCATTCACTGTGTTTTGGTTCCAAGTCAGACCACTAATTGGAAGAGTTCTGTATTGCATTTTCATGTGATTCTGTCGCAATCTGTCTGGTGTCCCTAGCTGGTTTGCAGAGCGGGATATCTATCAACTTCCCCAAACAAAGCAGCATGGTGGGGAGTTTTGTGGGTCCCTTTGTTACACGGTAGAGTTGTTGCTGTATTAGTGTAGCAATTAGAACCTTAAAAAGAGATGTAATGCATTGGTGAGCGCTGAACAACATGGTGTCTCCTGGATAATGGGTGCTGTTCCTCTGCTGCTTCTAGGGTTTTGACTCAGGGAAAAGGCTTTGAACTAAGAGAAGCTGGATGCCAGGCACCTAAACTGCTCTTTTAATTAAGTCTGGTTATGAAATGATATGATCTTGGCAACAGCAATATCTGCTAATTGTAACTGCTTGTTCTGAATTTGTTACTCAGTTGAGTTACACAGGAACTAAATGTTCCTCTCAACATGTTTTTTCCCTCCCTAGTAACACAATGAATCATGAAGGACATCTTCTATGAAAGCTGTTGCAGCCCAGACCCAGCTATAGGAAGAGATTGTTAGAAACAGCAATGTATGTCATGGTCCTGATTCTGCTGAAAGTACAAGCACTTACTTCACTGTTAAACACTGGTGATTTTTTGTTTGTTTGTTTTGCCTCCATGTTTCAGCACATTCTTACATTGTGTTTCGGAAGAATTTACACAAGCTTAAATGCTTGACTGAGTCAAGGTTTGGATTGCTGTGAGTTTGGATGCGTGTTATGTCCACAACCCCACCTACATCACTGAACCTGTTGGACATTAAGCTGTTATGAGTACTCCGGCAGTAAAAGCTCCAATATTTTTCCAGCTATCTACATGTGTAGAGCAACGTGGCTGGGCTAATTTTCTGTGGGACCATGTTAAACTAACTCCTGAACTAGCAAGAAAACTGTTAATTAGAAAAAGCAAATTAGTTGCACTTCCTAATTGTTTGTATTTCCAGAGAGTGTGTCAGTGGGGGGAAATGTCTTTTTAAATATGTGTCTGTTCTGTATCAGGATACGTGTTCTAGCAGGGATCAGTCAGCAGGGAGCAAGCACTGTATTTGGCTCTGCCAGAGCAGGAGGGCAGAAGTGGACTGTGCTGGGTATTGGGGCAGTGTGTAATTGTTTTTCCTAAGAAACTGGAATAACTGTAAAGAAACACAGACTCTCCCAGAGAAATGCAGGTGGCCATCACCATGCATGGGACCCTGGAGAGGTCTGGATCATGGTCCAGATCAGGGTTGGGTTTTGTCTGGTTTACCATGTAAGTAGTCCTATTGTAGAGAATTTCTGGCAAAAACCAAATGCTAATTGCAAAAAATTAAAAGAAAAAATCAGATGGACCTATGCATAAACCAGCAAAAATTCCAACCTTTATGTGGCACACATAAATGCCTGTCATCCAGTGTCGACTCGTTCCAATTGTGTTGGAACATCCCATCTATAATCCGCCACAGTTTCTCTGATTTAAATCATAGGGTCAATAGCAAGATAAATCCAAGAGATTAAAGTTGAGTCACGTAATACAAGTTGTGCCAACAACTGTGCTTTTCTGTACTTAAGCCATGCAGTGCAGTGAGGATAGCATCTAAAACCCAAAACTCCCAAATGCCTGCGTGAAGTTGCGTAACTCTGCAAGTGACTGTGTGTGTGTGTCTGTGTGGGAGACGGGTCACCACGCTTGGAAGCACCCCCTGGGCTCCAGACTGCACCATACTGTGCAAGAATGGTGCCTGCTGAAAACTGGAGCTGAATCATCACTTCACTGAGCTTTGCTCCATCACAAGGTCATGGTGACCTTGGTAAGATTTAAGAAATGGAATAATGAAAGCTGACAATCTGATTAAAAAAAATAATTTAGGCCTTGATTCGTCTCAGCACTTAAATACATGCCTGACATTCAGTGTGTCGAAGTTCCGCGGGTATCAACAGCACTGCTTACAAACTGAGGACCCATGAGCTGACGCAGGCCCTAAACACATAGGTGTTTGCCCAGACCTGGCCTTCATGTCTTGGTATCTGTTGTCACTGACTGCATTCACAGCGTCTAAAAGGTCCAGTTGTAAAAGACCATCTAGACTATCCCATGAAGCAGCATTGTTGACTTCTGTGTAGTCGTATCGCTTTCTTCTGGCTATACTTGGATATTCCAAAAGAGACATCTTCCATTTGCATTAGGAAATCACTCCCACTGCCCCTTAGGCAACTATTCACCTCATTCTTTACTATTTATACCTTTGGATACTTCTGAGCTGTCATCTCATTTTCAATAACTCTATTTTTTATCTTTCTTCCAGAGAATCCATCATCATTCAGTAAAAAAGATAACACCAACTCTTTTTAATATGGTCAATAAGCTTGGGTTTTTTATTCCTTATTATTATTTTAAGTAAGTATACGAAAAAGAAGTTTGAAAAGTTTTGCTGTCTAGTATGAACTTTTACAGTTTGCAGACTGCAACTGCGTTTCAAGCAAATTCTCTTGCAAACACTATGTAATTTATACAATAGCAGTGCAATTTGTTATTTATAGATTGATCATCTGGCTACAGGCAAAGTTTGAAAGCTTTCACATACAGTGCTTTTATTTTAAGCTTATTAGTAGCTTTAGATACAGAATTCATATTTGTATCGAGGCTTCTTCTGTATGTCTGGTGGATGAGCATTGTATAAACAACACTGGTGCATAGCCCTGGAAGAATCCATTCTAATGCTTGGCTCAAGATGTTAATTGCAAGAACATTGGAAACTCAAAGGCAAATAAAATAACAAGTGTATTTGTGCCAACAGAAGCTGTTTTGTTTGTTACTCGTTCACTATTAGGTATTCAGCAAGATACATGACTGGCAGAGACAAAGTTTATTCTTATTAGTCATAGAGAAGAATGAATATTTATTATTGAATAAACCCTGACATTCTCAAAACCTCCAGCTCCATAACGATGTGTTGGAACTAGCTGTGTTGGCTTGACTGCTTATTATACCTATGCTGGCAGAGAAAATTAGCATCGTAACCTATGTTGTTGCTTTGCTTTGAGTATTATGTTGACATACATATGTGTGTATTTCTATTCCTGTTCTTCAGAACGTTTTACAACCAGGCTTAGTTCCCTGTGTAAATGTATTTGATTGGTGATGCTTGATCCTCCAGGATCAAGCTGTCTGTCTCATTGAAAGTATCACTTTCACCAGAGTGATTGGCATTTTTTACTCTGTTTAGCCGAGACTGCAATCGTTCATGTTCTTTTCTCAACTCCGAGTAGGAATGGGAGAAAGTGTGGAATATTGACGTTGCAGGAAAAGACATGATGAGAATCCCGCTGAGGATGCTGCTCAGAGCCACCATCTGGCCTGGGACACTCCGTGGTACCATATCTCCATACCCCACAGTGGTCATTGAAATGATAGCCCACCAGTAAGAAGCGGGTATGCTTGTAAATTCAAGCACCTTCCCAGACTCATTCTCAGCGAGATAGACCAAAGGAGAAAACAGAGTGACAGCCACGCATAAGAAGAGTAAAAGCAGGCCAAATTCCCGTGTGCACCTCCGAACTGTGAGGCCCAAAGTCTGCAAGCCCAAGGAGTGTCGGGCAAGGCGCATGACATACAAGATCCTCAAGGCACGTAAAACCCGTAGCACCAAACCAACCTTCTCCAAATATGTGTTGCTGCTTGGCCTGTCATCCTCCTCATTTGAGTCATCCTCTGAGAAGATGAGGGAAACATAATAGGGTGAAATGGCCAAGAAGTCAATGATATTTAGGGGTCCTTTGAAGAACTGACACTTGCTCCTTGCCTGGATGAATCGGAGGCAGAACTCCAGGGAAAACCAAGCCACACAGATGGTCTCTATGACGAAGATGTAATAGCACTTCTGGGAACACTCGCCCTGACACAAAACAAAAAGAGAATCAAATAAAAGAACAGTCTGTGAACCAGCAACCAGAAACACTAAGGAAGAAGCAATATGTATCTGCTTGAGACGCTGGTTTCAGAAATGAACAAATCCCGGCTAGCAGGTAATCGTATGGCAGCCATCTTTCAATGGTGTATAGACGATAATGAGCACGTGAAATCTCTGCATGAGCAGATACATCTACCTGCTTAATTTTTATGATTTTGCTTCTTCCAGTCTAAATGTATGAAACTTGTCTCTGTATAAATTCTTGGCATGCAGCCTGTAATTCCCAAATAAGTCCCACTTTCTGCTCTCAAACAGAAATTGATTTAAACTTGACTGGTTTATAAGCCTGTACAAAAATCAGTTTCTCTTCAAAAGAAAGAATAATGTTTGAATGTCTTGGTAAACTTCTGGTGCTGTTCAATGCATGGTGCTTTCACGAATGCTGTGTACTCTGGTGCAATTAAAAGTGGTTCAGAGATATTCATTAGGTCATCTGGATCCTTGGCTCAGTTATGCCATATATAAATCATGTTTCTTTCTGTACATGCAAATGTTTTAATGTAAAGGAAAATAAATACCCACCCAGTAGGTGAAACTTGCCTTGAAGAATCCTCTCCCAGTATTGAGGCCACATGCTACAAGCAGTATTTTCTCAGTTTTTTTATCAAAGGAATTGCTGTAGTTGAACACCTTGGAATCACATTTTTTATTTTCCTGAGCTGAGCTTAAAAAATAAAACTTCTTTTGGCCTACTCCAGTGAAACAAAGAGGCAAATGTAAATTAACTCATTATTTGGGTAAGCAAGAGACTACACTGAACTTTGTCCCTTAGTGATGGGCGGCCACTAGGTTACATCTGTCCAAAGAGCGAGCTGACAGATGGACACATTGGGTACAGGGACTGAGGTATATGTGCTGCCTCCTTCACATGCACAAGTGTCTGCTTGCTCTATTTCAACTGGCAGAAAACAAACCAGGTCCTTCCACTGGTTTTTGTCTTACAGAAGATAGGAAATAGCAATGAAAGCAGCATGTGCTTCTTAGCACCTGGACACCTCCCCCTGAAAGGAACACATTGTTTTTAAATACTGGTGTCACTGCTTTCTTACATACCCTAATCCATCCTATTGATAAATACATTCCTGTACAGAGAATTGATATGTTCTTAAGAATCACAGAATGGTTGGGGTCAGAAGGGACCTCTAGAGACCATCTAGTCCAGGCCCCCTGCTAAAGCAGGTTCACCTAGAGCAGGCTGCACAGCAAAAATCCAGGTGGGTTTTGAATATCTCCAGAGAAGGGGACTCTACAAGCTCTCTGGGCAGCCCGTTCCAGTGCTCTGTCGCCCTCAAAGTAAAGAAGTTTTTCCCTCATATTCAGATGGAACTTCCTGTGTTTCAGTTTGTGCCTGTTGCCCCTTATTCTGTCACTGGACACCACGGAAAAGAGTCTGGCCCCATCCTCCTGACATC